TCGGCCGGCGAAGGTCTTTCCGGGCAAGTCCCCACCCGGACCCCGAAAACCCCCTCGGCCCTGAACGGGCGCCAATTTCCCTCCCAGCGAAGCTCCCGTAGTGTTGATAAGGGACCCCCGCCCCCCCCGACCCCCAACCAACCCGGGCTTGCCCGGACCCGCCGACCCGAACCTTCGCCTACCCAAAGCGCCCCGGGGTCCCCGGAAGTCCCCAGGGACCCGGGGCCGGGCCGAGGGGGGTAGAGACCGGGGGAGGGACCCTGCGAGGGAGTGGGAGCCGACCTGGGCATCCAGCTTCGCCTCCTCGGACTGTCGCCTAAACTCCGTCTCCGCGTGTTTGTCTCTAACCGTCCCTCCATCCCTCCATCCTGCGCTCCGGGACCGTGGGATCCCCTGGGCTGATCCCGCAGCTCCTGGATGCGGTTCACGCCGCTGTCCTGGCCGGGGCCTCCGCAGGGCTCCGCGCCTTCCAGCCTGAAAAAGACCAGCTGCTCGCGGCCCTGGAGAGGACGATCCGCCCGGACGTGGACCAGCTGATGGGGCTGCGGGGGCGCGTGGCAGGGAAGCTGCGAAGTGAGCCTGGGGGGCGGGGCGGGGCCTGGGAGACGGGGCGGGGCCTGGCCTGGAGGGGCGGGGCCTGGGGACAGGGCGGGGCCTGGCGGGGCGGGGCCGGGAGCCTGAGAGAAAGAAGGGACCCAGGTCGGTGTAAGGGGCGGGGTCATGAGGAGGGCGGGCCGGGGAAAAGGGGTCCGGCCAGGGATGGAGCGGGTGAGTCTAGGTGTGGAGAGGACAGGAGGCCCTGGCGGTGGCATGTCTGAGCCGGGTTGCTCAGTCAGATGGCGGAGGGGCGCCCACTGGGCTCAGGTACAACGTGAGCCGAACTGGCATCTGGACTCGGCCTTCCCGGCATCGCTTCTGAGTCGACCCCACCGCACTCGAAGGAAAATGGGGCGGAGCGGGTGCTCAGAGTCTGCGTTCCGCCCACCTCACCCTGCGGAGCCTCGGGTCTCCCACGACCCCACTTGCGGAGCACGTGGCGAGGGAGACCCAGGCCAGTGCCTTCCGCCCTCAGCCGAAGTCCAGGGCGCCCTGGAGTGCTGCCTGCGCAGGAGGGTGGACGCACAGCTGCCCCGGGTCACGCAGACTCTGCTGGACATGGTGGAAGCAGCACTGGCGGCCGTGCAGACCCTCCTAGCCCAGGGCATGGACCGCCTGGACCGCCACCTGCGTGGGAATCCCTCGGGCGCCCGGCTGCGGAAAGAGGTGGGCTCTAGCGGGTGCGGGCTGTTAACCTCATAGAAGAGCTGCATGAACGTTGCATCTTTCTTGTTTGACAACCTTTTCTTTTTAAAAACCTCGAAACAACTTTTTTCTAGGCTATTTTTTTTTTTTTTTACTTATTATGGACAACCATGCTATGGTTATCAGGACACTGTTTAAAATGTGGGGGAAAGGGGTAAGATGGTGAGAATAGCACTTAATAATGTCAGTTTGGAGTCACCTTCCCCACAAACTCTCCCTCCTGCCATTCCTTTGTCCCCAGAGGATTCTGCTCTATGCAGGTCAGCTCAGTTCTTCTGATATTAAATGAGCACCTACTATGCACCTTCCACTCATTACGCATCCACTCCCTAATCACCTCCATCCGGATCTGTCCCTGGCCCCTCTCTGCATCTGCAGCTGCCTGTGCCTCCCTCATCACGGAGGCAGTTACACACCATTGTGGTTGATTATCTCCAGTCTATCACCCTAAACTTTCCTGTGAGCTCCCAGAGGTGTTGGGTGACTCCACTCATGCAGGCCTAGGGCTCAGCCCCGAGAGGCCACCAGATGGTGGGCATAGGTGCCACAAGGACTGAGTGTGCCCACTTCCCCTCAGTCCTGCCCGCACCGCATAGTATCATTTTTCCAGGTCTTACCGTTTTATGCCCATCACACCACACCTTACTGTTGCTTTTATTGTGCATTTTTGTGGTGATAACCAAGGTAAGATGTGTTCCCATTTGTGTTTTTCCTTCGCTGCATCGGCTGTGAGGCCCTGGGCCCGGCTTTTCCATCAGCTGATGGTGTCCTCTCACCTGACTGCCGTTGGAGCACAGGTTTACGCCTTTGGGGAGATGCCATGGGATCCGGAGCTGATGCAGGCTTGCTACCGCGAGGCTGAGCGGAGCCGGGGCCGCCTGGAGCAGCTGGTGGTGCCCTTTGGCTTCCTCGGAGCACGAAGTCTGGTGTTTGGGGCCCAGGATCTCGCACAACAGGTGAGGCCAAAG